GCCCTCTGTATGATGGTTTCTGGTTTTGTTTTCTGATTTTTGAGATGAATACAAAACATGATTCTGTATTTTTTGTAGTTTTTAAACAATCTTGTTCTGGTAGATAGGCATTTTTTTGCTTTTAAAAAATGGTGTTTTTTGTTTGTTTGTTTGTTTTGGTTCTTCAAGACCGGCTTCTCTGTGTAGCCATGGCTGTCCTGGAACTCGCTCTTTAGACCAGGGTGGCCTATAATTCACAGGGATCCACATACCTCTGCCTCCTTGAGTGCTGAGATTATAGGCATGGGCCACCATACCTGGCTTCAAAAGTTTTATTTTTAATTGACAGATTTTATTGCAAAGTTTATTCAATGTACAGAGGTTCAATTCTAATGGGGTTTGAACATTTTTACCATGTTGCCAGTTTAAATCCAGCTTTGTACCACGACTTAAGCTGACAAGTGATACTTTGTTTTTCTTTTCAAAAAGATTTTATTTGTGTATTTTGCCTGTATGTATGTATGTATACATACCCTGTGCATGCTTGGCACCAGAGGCCAGAAAAGGTTAGATCCCCTGGGACTGAAGTCAAAGCTGATTGTGAGCCACAATGTGGATGCTGGGAATTGAGCCTGCATGCCCTTCAAGAGCTCTTCAGTGTTCCTAACCACTGCATCTGCTTGTTTCTGGGAGGTACTTGATGAGCAACTGGTGTAATAGAAAACCCTTCTCGAGAAGTGGCCTTGCAATTTTAAAGCCTTGAGTCTTCAGGGGTTCCAGGGGATGAGGTTCCCGGGAAGGGTTGCGTTCTCTTTTCCTCTGTGGTTTGGAGAGAGATGATTTCAGTTCCTTTTTGCTCTCCAAGTTTGGCAGTTTAGGATATAGTCTGTACTTATTTTAAGGGGAAAATGGGGTTACATTTTAAGCACCTCCCTGTAAAGCTCTTAGGAAATGAAGTCCTTAGGAGTGCTTGTCCCTGTTATAATTAAATCTTTCACTTTTGTTGCTACTGTGATCTAGAGACCCAACAGATGTCTAATTCCCTCTGGTTCCAGAATTAGTGAATTAAAATACTCAGTGACGGGGAAACTTAAGAGTTGAAGGGTCCTCTTTTCCCTTCATAGAGTAGTGCTGGGGATTGGGGATTCCTTTTCCAGTTTATGGTGTAGTATCCAGAGCAGGCTTCCTCCTTGAGTTTGCCTCTGCTTTTCCTGTCCACTGCAAAGAGATGTTTAGTTTTCTAGTTGCCTGATGAGAAGAATCTCTTGACCTGGCATTCTCAGAGGGAAATAACTGTTCTCACAAACAGACTTTGGTGGAAAGAGCTGCAAATGATCCGAAGCTTTAAAAAAAAAAAAAACAAACGTGGAAACAAGGTGTCCACAGTCACAGTGGTGGGAGAGCATTGGTTTCAATTTATTATTATGTAGACAGTGTTCTGCCCGCATATGTGCCTCCACACCAGAAGGCGGCAGCAGATCTCACTATAGATGGTTGTGAGCCACCATGTGGTTTCTGGGAATTGAACTCAGGACTTTGGAAGAACCTCTGAATCATCTCTCCAGCCCAATTGCTGCTGTTTTTAAGGCATTACTTTATTTTTTATTTTTATTTTTTGTTTTGAGACAGGCTTTCTCTGTGTAGCTCTGGCTGTTCTGAAACTCTATCTGTAGACCAGCTTGGCCTCGAACTCAGAGATCTGCCTGCCTCTGCCTCCCAGGCTCATGGGTCACCACCCAGCTAAGGCATTTTTTAAAAAAGGATACATTATGTGTATCCCAGGCTGATCTTGATTTCTCAGAGAGATCTGCCTGCCTCTGCCTACCTCCCGCATGTGCTGGGATTAAAGGTATGTGTCCCCATGCTTGGCTTTAGACTTCAGGGATTTTTCTTTTTAAGATTTATTTTTGTTTTATGTGTATGGGTGTTTGTCTTCATGTATGTTCACCATGTCTGTGCCTGGTGCCCTGAGAGGGCAAAAGAAGAGTCAGATACCCTGGAGCTGGAGTTAGAGTTCTGTGTGGATGTTAGGTACTGAATCTGGGTCCTCTGGAAGAGCAGCCTGTCTCCAAGTTAAAATTATCAACTTTTTGTTTTACTTATTTTAGATCAGGTCTTACCCTGTAGACCAGGCTGGTTTCAAACTCACAGATCCACCTACCTTTGCGTCCTTAGTGCTGGGATTAAAGTTGTGAACTACCACACCAGCATCAGCTTTTAGACTTAATTTTTTTTTAAATTACATTTTTATTTTTTTATATTAATTAGTTTGTTCCCTTTGTATCCCAGCTGTAGCTCTCTCCTCCCCTCCCAATCCTACCCTTCCTCCCTCCCTCATCTCTTCCCATGCCCCTCTCCAAGTCCACAGAAAGGGGGGTCCTCCTCCCCTTCCATCTGACCTAGCTTATCCGGTCTCATCAGAACTGGCTGCATTGTCCTTCTCTGTGGCCTGGTAAAGCTGTTCCCCCATTAGGAGGAGGTGGTCAAAGAGCTAGCCTCTGAGTTCATGTCAGAGACAGTCCCTGTTCCCCTTACTAGGGAACCCATTTGGACACTGAGTTGCCATGGGCAACATCTGTGCAGGGGTTGCCATAGTATTTGAATCATTATAGTGAGGGGGGGGGGCCCTAAATCAGTGTTGGTTCTAGAGAGGAGCCAAGAATGATGCCATTGGCCTGCTGACTACTAAGTATCTCTGGGAATGGCTAATTGCTATGGAAAAAATATAATCTAGAACATAATGTCTTTTTTTTTTTTTTTTTTTTTTTAAACAGAATACTATGTTAAGTTTAAGACTCAGAGGCTTAGCTGGGCAAGGTGGCACAGGCCCATAATCCCAGCTATTGGGAGGCTGAAGCAGGAGCATCATAAGTTCAAGTCTTGCCTGGGCTGCAGGGTGAGTTCAAGGCTAGCCTGGTCAATTTAATAAGATCCATCTCAAAGTGGAAAGTGAAGAAGAGAGGGCTGGGAATATAGTTCAGTGTAGACTGTTTACCTGCTGTGAGAGAGTCCGTGACTTCAGTTCTCAGTGTTCCTTATGCTAGGGATAGGGAATTAACCAAAATGTCATATCTTTGCCATTCAGAGACACCTGAGTTTGTGGTCCTTTCTCTCCCAACCTTCCTTTCCTGTCTTTAGTTGCTTGCTTTGTGAATGTTGGTCTGTCTTGTACTGCCCAGTGTTTCCAGCAGGATTTCATGTTGTTTTGCCCATATTGTTGCTGAGTGTTCTTATTAGATGCTTCAGTGAGGAGCTTAAGATGTTGAATATATTAGCCTTAGAGGGAATGCTATTACCCTTATTTTGTGTGTGTGGGTTTTCGTGTGTGTGCATGCATGCTGGTGGACTAAATAAGTCATTAGTCTTGGTAACTTAGCCATCTTGCTATCCCAATAATTATGTCTATATCAGAGGACAGTTGTAGGGGTCTGTTCTCTTCCACCATGTGGATTCAGGGTTCAAACTCAGTTTATCACACTTAGCAAATGCTGTTGCCCATTGAGACATCTTTTTTGCCCTGGGGAGTTTTTTTTTTTTTTTTTTTTTTTTTTTCTTAAATGCTTTTTGTTATAATAGAACATGTGTAATGATTATCGTTATAACCACTTTGAAATTGACATTCATTGTGTTGTGCAGTTGTTACTAGTATCTTTTTCTTGAATTCTTCCATGGGTTCAAATAAATTCTGTACCTGTTAAACAGCTCTCTTTCCCTCCTTTCATGGTAGTTACTGTTTTACTTTTTTTTTTTTTTAAAGATTTATTAATACAGTATTCTTCCTGCATGTACACGTACGTGCCAGAAGGGGGCACCAGACCTCATTATCAATGGTTGTAGCCACCATGTTGTTGCTGGGAATTGAACTCATGACTTCTGGAAGAGCAACCAGTGCTCTTAACCTCTGAGCCATCTCTCCAGCCCCCACTGTTTTGCTTTCTATGTGGGTTTTTTTTCCCTAGAAATTTGCGTTTTGGTTTATATTGTGTTATCAGCTAAGAGAAAGTTTTTACTATTTTTGCATCTTGGTCTAGCCTTCTAAGAAAGGGGAGAGGGAGGGATCTGAAATTCCTTTAAGCTTTGTTGAAAATGACCAGTTTTAGCGTATTGATTTCCTAAATATTGCTGACAGTTTTCGCTTTCCTAGGACTTGGATGTTGTAGGTGATGGCATGCCCTGCCCTCCGTCGCCCTTGCTTTTTGATCCTTCACTAACGCCTGAAGATCATTCAGACAAAGAAGTTGCCGGAGGCCCAGTGAGTATCTTGACAGTTGACTTTTTCAGCTAGGGTCCCTCATACGGTGAGCTGCCGGGCACGGTCTATCCCTGTTGGCGCATATGAATTCAGGGAGTGGGTATAGTACCAAATAGTGTGTGAAAGGGCCCAGGCTGGTGGTTTTCTCCCTGAATACCATCAAATGAAAGTACCCTTTGAGCTGGAACTGTAGCCAGAACTCCTGTTGCTGCAGTAAAACACCACAACCAAAAGCAGCTTGGGTGGAGAAGGACGGCTTTCACCCTTCAGGTGACATTCCATTAGGAACCTGGAGACAGGAGCTGCTTCACACAGAGGCTGTGGAGAAACACTGTTTACTGGCTTCCTCAGCCAGTTCTCTTAAAAGGTCTAGAACTACTGCCTGGGGTGTCATTGCTCACAATGAGTCCGGCCCCCCACGTCAACTGAAAAAAATGCACCACAAGCTTGTTGATAGGCTAGTCTGGTGGGCCCAGTTTCTCTATTGAAGTCCTCTCTCCTAAGTCTAGCCTGGTTAAGTTGATGTCAAGCCGTCCAGCACAGACCTTCTGCGTGCAGTGTGTGAGAGACCTGGTTTTAATGCACAGCACCGCCACAACAACTTTTGTTTCTGCAGACCTGGCTTGCACTAATTTTCCAGATGAGCCGTAGAACTCCATTACTAATGGTTCCTGATCCTCAAGAATAGGGTACACATTTATTTGAGGGAGATGGTGGGTAAACTGTCCGTCGTTCCAGTTCTTACAGAGTAAAGGTGGATAGGTTACTAATGGCTCTTACTGAAGACTAGCAGTTATACCATAGCTGTTGGTTTCAAGCAGATGCCTAAAGAACTCTCTTCCTATGGAGTATCAACTGTTCTGGAACCTCAGTAGAGAACAATTATTTCATTTGGAAGAAACAACCCCTTGTTCTCTTGCTTGACAGCTTCATAATGTTCCTGACTCTTGGGGACAGCAGAACACAGGAAAGCAGCCACCTACTACTGTGTTTCTTGTGTTCTTGTAGCCACTATAAATAGGTATTGCTAAGTCAAGAGTCACGTTGCAGGCCCATTGGAGGAGTCTCTAACCAAAGTGCCTTTATTTCTCTCAATAGGGACAGATGCAGGTGGCTGGAGATGGGTGTAGGTCCCAGGGATCTCGGAATGTGGACAGAGCCTGTGCACCATTCCCTCAGCGTGGACTGGCTGCTGCAAATGGAGAACCAGAGCCTAGTTCTACCAGTTGACAGTGCATTCTAGGAATTGTTTGCCTTTGGATGTGAACTTTCCATTCTTCAGACACATCTCTCTGATCATCTCTCACTGAACAGGGACAACCCAGACTACATTGTTTTCTTCGGGGCTGTAGAGTGCTATAGACAAATATAAACCACACTTGTGCGGAACGGATCTCTAGTATTTAAAAGTTAAGGGATTCTTTGCAAGGAAGAGAGAGGTAGTTTCTACCGTCAGGATGAATTGCATATTGGAGACTGTGCCTGGGAAAGAAACACTTTTGTAATGAGATTTCCAGAGCCCTGGACAGAAATCCACATGGATGTGTAGGTGGGGCTATGGTCAGGAATGGTGCTCTTGAGGTGTTGGCTGTTAGTGTCAGGCTAGCTGTATCTAAAGGCCTTTAAGCCTTTCCTCAGCTCCACATACTTGGGCAATATAAACCCTGACTGAGAAAAAAGCAGCTCACAGGTCTGGCTCTCCTTAATTATCCTTGCTTTTAATTTATGTACATTTCTGTGGTGGACCCTCCATGTAAAATATAGTAAAATTATTGTATATAGTTTCTATTAAATGTTAAAATGTTACGGAAATGTAAAGTAGTCTGAATTGATCGTGTTTTCTTTGCATGTGAGTTTATATTTTCTGGGACTTCTAGTGCAATCTGATGGGAAGAGGAAATGGGAAGGCACAGACTATATCTCAGGACAGGCATTCCTGGAGAGGCCGCACTCAGTACCTAGTTCCAGGGCCACATAAACTTGTGTTCATTGAAGAGTTCGGAGTTAGCTCAGTAGGGGGCTCAAGACTGGCACGGAGCCTATGAAAGAAAAAGCTTAAGCTTGTCCTTGAGGTGGACAGTTATCCCTTTACTGTCTGGGCGTGACGTTCTTCCCTGCAAGAATGTCTACTGGTGAAGGCCCCTCGCACAGCCTAGGCCCCTTTCAGGTGCTTTAGTTACTTCTGTTGATTATGGCTAAGGCTTAGGGTTCCAGAGGGTAAGAGAGTCAGTGCATCGCGGTAGGAAGGCCTGCTGGCCTGGTCAGGAAGCTGGGAGCTCACATCCTTAACTACAAGCATGTGAAACCGCAAACTGTAAGTAGTACAAGGTTTTAATCTCAGCCCCCTTCAGCAAGTCTGCATCTCCTAAAACTCCCCAAACTGCTACCAGCTGGGCACCAAGTACCAGCTGGGCACCAAGTACCAGAGACTGGTGGGCATTTCTCAGCCACATTAGGTTTGGGTAGTAGAAAGCCTAGAACCACAGGCCTGGACCAGTGATTGTTAGAAGGGGAGCTGACGAAAACAGAAGTGATAGCAGGCTAGGGGGCACCTGTTAGAGCCAGGCCAAACTGTAATTCCACCTCACGGAGACAAACGGAGGCCCCAGAGCAGTGCCCCTGGATGGCACGGTTGGATGGCTCATGAGGCATGTAGATATGGAGGATTAGGTGTTGGCTGTACCCAATGTGGCCTTTTTGACAGCCAGATACAAGTGCTGAGGTCTTTGTGCTGTATTGGACCTTGCTAGCATTCCTTTAGTAGTATCCTCTTAGCTGCCCAAGGAATCAGGAAGTAAATGAAACTTAGAGATCTCAGCAAGTTCCTGAAACCTGCAAGGTTCACAAGTCCCACCATCCCAAAGATATATAAGCAGTAATTTCTGGAGGAGAGTTGACTCTTAAACCGGTGAACCAGCGAACTGCAAACCAGCTCTGCGCATGGAACTCAGAGCTGGGAACTCCAGGGATGCGATGTTTGTGAATTGTCACCATTTTGGGGGGTGGGGAAGGCGAACCTGTTTTCAGTGCTGTGCCTGCCTTTAGTCATCCATGCTCCTGTGAGTAAACCAATAAACAGCAGTTGACTGAACTACTTGGATGGACTAATTTCTTTGGTCAGGTCCTCCCCAGGAAACGCAACATGACTGCAGTGGGTAGTGCTGATCACAAGAGGGAGCTAGGGAGACACTCCCATACCTTCAGTAACAGAGTTCCAGCCAACCTCTAAGATTAGGGAAATCTAAACCAGGTGAAGTGGGAGAAACAGGAGACAGGTGAGAAAGCAAGGTTAAGACGGAAAGAGGAGAAAACGGACCAGAAGCAGAGTGGAAGGCTACTGAGGGAACAGAACCTAAGATAAAGGATATACTGTAAAGGACTGGTCAGCCCAGAGGAGACCTAAAACCCTACTGAGCGAAGGCAAATGACTAAGAAAACAAAGAACAAACTAAACAATAAAAAACTAGAAGACAGGGAAGTACTTTGGTCACATACCGTCATTTCAAAAGCTGCTTCGTTGTAATAGTGTTTAGAGGCACTCCTACCGTCAGCACAGGAGCTGGGGAGGGCTGTGATCCACAGAACAGTTCTTCAGCAAGCTGCCTCACACCGGGAGGAGAGAGAAGTGCTGGCCCCGGGTGCTGCGTATTCCTATTGTGCACAGGCAAGAAAGCGCTGTAATGTTCCACGTAATTTATAATTGCTGTTCCGTATTAGCAAGGCTGGTGGCTTTGGCTATCACCAGAGCAGGTCTGTCTAAGCACCATTTGATATTTAGTTGGCCATGCAAGAAAAGTCCCCCCCCCCCCCCCCAAATATACAAGTAAATCCTACACAGTCTTACCAATCTTTTTCTTCCATCCCTCCCCTTACCTTGACTGAGTTTTATCATGTAGCCCTGGTTGGCCTGGAACTCTGTAGACCAGACCAGAGTTCAAAATTCCAAGAGATCCTCCTACCGAAAGATGTGTTACCACATCTTTTTTTTTTTTCCCTTAAGTAGGTTATTTTGTTGGGGTTGTTGAGATAGCCTAGTAGTCAAAAGCACGGGCTGCTCTTCAGAGGACCCAGGTTTGGTTTCCAGCTCACGTATGTCTGGTTCAGTCCCAGGACATCTGACACCTTCTGCTCTTGGAGGGCGCTAGACACACAGAGGGCGCACAGACGTGTATGCAGGCAGAATGCTTGGAACACAACACAAAACAGATCTTTGAGAAAAGTTAGCTTGCAAGCTCACACTGAAGAGATCCACCTGCCTCTACCTCCCAAGTGCTGGGACTCAGGGCTGGGCACCTCTGCTCAGCCATTATCTTCATTTTCATCCCTGGTGCTCTTGTCCTCATTTTCCTCATAATCTTTTTCTTTTCCAGCCTCGGCAATGCTATGCACCGCCTCACACACCCTTTCCTCAGGCTGCCTTGGGCCTTTCTTTAGCTCCATTTTAGCAATATGCTTTATTTTCCCGGATAATCAAGCTTCTGCCAATAAGGCCAGTTATCTGCAGCGGTGCTCCTCCACACCCCCCCCAGTCTCTTTGGATTACTACTGTTGGGTAGGTTGGGGTGAATTCCCTAGGTTCTGGGGCGATAGGCAAAGAGAAGGCTGAAGGAGCCTGTATTGCTTACTTGTACACTGTTATGGCAAAACAGCCGGCAGGAACAGCCTCAGGGAGAAAGGATCTGTGTTGGCACACTTGTTGATACTAATATTTACTATTGATTTATCTTTTAGTTAAGCAGAGCGGTTAATCCTAAACAGCTGTATACCCAAATCACCACACAGAGACTGGGATTTATTTAATTAACCTAGAGCACAATGCTGGGCAATAGTTACTCCATCCCAAACCTCCAAGTCCGCATAGTTTCCTACCATTCAGATTCACCCATTATACTTGGCTTTTAGTTATCTTAGGTCTGGTTCATCCCTCCTCATGGTTCCTGTGGATTCTCTGCTCCTCCTTCCTGCTTCCTCTCTCCCTTCCAGACCAGGATGCCCCACCTTACCCTCTCCATTGCTCAGCATTGGGGCTGATTGACAATATAGAGAACAAATGGTGGCATGTTCACACAAACTTGAGACAGGTGATGCTTAGAGTAAGCATCACAATGCAATGTCCGATTGAAACCAGATAGTGGGGTAGAGAAATCAGCACGTGAATGAATGAACAAGGGTAAATTGTGTACATTCCACAAGAATGTTATACCAACAACACAGTGTTAGAGACGTCAGCATCTCAACAGAGAGGGTGTGGAGAATTAGAGCTGCTCCCGTCCTCGTGGCCAGGAACCACACAAAAGAAAATATAGGAAGGATCCAGTCAAGATAGAGCCCTAAGGCCACACTCCCAGGGGCCTAACTTCTTCAGATAGGTCCCATCACCCTTCCTTTGGCCATTTTTGGTCAGAACCCTTGTGCTCTAATCATCTTGGAAATGTTCTCATGTCACACCCCCATAGGTACACTTTGCTAATCTCTTAGCTTTTTCTCAAGCCAATCAGGTTAAAAATTGAGATGAACCATCCCAGAGCTGGAGAGATGGCTCAGTGGTTAAAAGCACTTAACTGCTTTTTCAAAGGGCTCTAGGTTCAGTTCCCAGCACCCACATGGTAATTTCCAACTGTTGGCAACTCCAGTTCCAGGAAGCTCAGTGCCTTCTCTGACCTGAGATCACCAAGCACGCATGTGGTACACCCGTACTCATACATTGGATTCATAACAGTAGCAAAATTACAGTTATAAAGTAGCAACAAAGTAATTTTATGGTTGGGGGTCACCACGACATGAGGAACTGTTAAAGGGCCTCAGCATCAGGAGGGTTGAGGACCACTGCTCTGGCTGTTTGCTAGACAAGATCTTGCTCTGTAACCCTTCTGGTCCGGTGCTTGACTAAGGCCTGGGCGATCCTT